GAGGGGGATGGAAGGGGTGGTCCTTAATGAACACATTTCAGCTGCATCCCCTGAGGGGGCCATGTGCCCCCTCCAGGCCCTTCTCCTTGCACCACACGCATCTCCTACCTCCGCATCTCCTACCTCCTCCCTACCTCCTCCCGGCTCCACCTGGAGCCTTCTAAGCCACACCCCTGCACTGGCTCTGTCCCTGCCCACCGCCATAAAGGCTGGCACATCAGGATCAATAGTGCCTCCAAGGAAGGGGTGAGAAAAGGATTTCACAATTTATCAGGCCATCTGTTCTCTCCTTCCCTCCTATGGTATTCTCCAAAATTAATCGTGCCTCTGCGGATGTGAGATGTTCCGTCATGCCCCCATGGTTGACTGAGTATGCAGGAAGAACATCTGGTGAATCCCTTCATTTCACAGATGGGAGAAACTGAGGTCCAGAGAGAGAGAGCAGAGCAGGGACTTGACCCTGGTCTCACTGGGATCAGGTTCTCCAAGGGAGTGGACTGGGGACGGAGGGTTATCAGGGTGAAGACAGGCCCTGGGGCAAGGGTCTGAGCACCAGCAGGAGGGAGGGGGCAGTGGGATCTTTGCAGCGAAGGCATGCAAGGGGAGCAAGGCCTGGCAGACAGCCCATACTGCTAGGCTCTCCAGAATGGAAAAGTCCCAGGATGTGCGTGTGCAAGGGTTAGTGGCAAAACCCTGCAGGAAGGAAATCCCTTTCCACTATAAATTTGGGCTCCAGTACAGGTTGAAGATAAGAGGCACTTATCTGTGAAAACAGGCACCCTCAGGCAACTGAGGGTCTCCTGAAGGTGTCAGGGGAGTTGTTCCCATGAAGTTCAAGGTCCTTATAGGGAATATACAAATGTCTTGTCTGGGAGCCATGTCCTATTTGAGGAGCGCTTATAAAGATTAGTCATCCGGTGCTTGGGGTCCCATGATTGCTTTTGGCATTCAATGAAAAAAAATGAGACCCATCAGAGGAAGAGAGATGATTGTTGGTGTCACAGCCAGCAGGAGGTCTCTCTACAAGCATCACATTCTTGACCCATCATACTTAGGCCTCCCAGGCTCAGCCACCAGCTACTCAATGTGTCTCCTCTGAAACTTTCAGTCATTGTCCAGTTTCCTTTTTTGGTTTCACTGTTTTATGTTTGAAAAAAGTTCAAAGGCATACCAGGTTTTCTGAAACTCCAGCTGGTTAAATATTAAGGCCTATGGTCGTGCACATTTTTCAAGCTGATGGGCAAATTACAACTAAAAAATTTCAGAGCTCAAATGTTAACCTGCAACTACAAGGTTAAATAGAGGCTTCTAAAATCTGTTTTTCTGCCTACTGTGAATTTGCTGGTGAAAGATACCTATAGAAACTTAGAAGAAACTTAGCTTATTCTTTAGTCTTTTTGCCTCAGAGTAACCATTAGAAAGCATTCAGACATTCTACTGCAGGACAGACAGCAGCCTATCCCATCCTCCCCCAGCCTATCCCATCCCCCCCCAGGCAAATCTTCAGATACGAGATCAGGACAACCCTTTAGGACCACAGCACCTTTGGTCAAGGAATTTGTGAATTGCAAATGTCTAACAAGACTCTTTCAGGAAACGCCCCCCCCAGGGTTAACCTAATCAGCCCTTGTGAACTACGTGACACAGATAAGACCCACTTGGCAGCAATCATGTGACTAAACCCACCCATCTGCCTGATGTCCATCACCTGACATCATCAGTACCTGTGTTTGTCTGCCCCTTTGTGATGACGTGGAAGCAGACCACCACCCAATCACCGTAATGATCTTCCCCCCTCCATCAAGGGGAATGGTTAAAATGACTCAACCACAAGCAACCAGCGGCCATTGCCTTGCTAGAGTCTGGTGTGGACTTGTGCTCTTTGAGCCATGGCTGTTGCCATGCTTCCTGGCTTTGGTCCCCCTCCCCCACCTTGGGAGGTGAATCTTCTCTCTAATTTACTTTTAAATAAACTTTTCTTTCTTAACCTTTTTGTGTGACGCAATTCTTTGCATCTACTTGGATCTCTGGGTTGCCAGCGCGCACCTCTGGCTTGCCAGCCCTGGCAGTGCTGCGCCTCCCTGCACCATGCTACCCTCACCCTGTCCGTCAGTACCCTAATAGCTGGCAACTAAGCTACTGTTGTTGAAATAAAGCTCAGTTTCAAGGTTAAGTAAAAATTTTGTTATATAGTTCAGCCAATACTATCTGAAATATAAACATTAAAAACTCATTTTAAAACTGAAGGAAAAAAAGGTTTAAAAAGTTTTAAAGATCAAAGTGCTGTGGAAAACTGCTTTATCCACAGCCTTTATTTGATTACCTATTGGGGCATCGAAGCTTAACCATGCAAACAGGTTCCAATTTTGTCAGAAACATAATTTGAATTTGGGTGTCTTTTGTAGAATGGTAAGTTTGTTGCCATTTCATGGCTAGAGTTCAGGAGGTAAAGGCTGTTAAATCTTTGTGTGTATGTATGTTTGCTTAATTGTGTTTGCATATGCATGTTGTATGTTTTATCTATCATGCTACCAAATTGGCTTATAAATAACTGAGTACTCATAAATAAATAAATCTAAATGCTTTCCAAGTTCACGTGACTTTAATAATCTTTGGTAAATAAAAATGGGCTTAAAATTACTAATAAAGTGAAAGTGGCTTTGAAACTGTCAGCATACATTTTTGTCTGGGTCTACTGGGCAGGGAGACCTCATCTCTACAATAAATCAAATCAGCCGGGTGTGGTAGCACATGCCTGTAATTTCGGCTACTTGGAAGGCTGAGGCGGAAGGATCGCGGGAGCCCAGCAGGTCGAGGCTGCGCTCCCGGCCACCGCACTCCAGTCTGGGCGACAGGGTGAGACTCCAATTCAAAAAAAAAAAAGAAACTAGTTGCTTAACCATTTTGGAAATATATAAAGAACTGTTAACAGAAGGGGTATGCCCTTTCCCTTAAAGACACCTGCATTCTCTAACGTGTCACTTTTTTTTCTAATCCACTGTACCTTAAATCTGTCTCTGCATCTCACTCTGAAATTCCAAGCGACATCCGGCATTGAGATCAATGAAACGCCCCAGGCCTGGTTTTCTCAGGGAACTGTCATGGTGGGGGCCTGAGTCTCAGGGGAGCAGAGCCCAGGCACAGACTTGGGGTGGGTAAGGCGGTCTCACCAAGGACTCTGCATCTGTGCATTGTCCCCACCAACGCACTTGAAAATTGTTCCAAAGTTCTCTGATGAAGTGATTTTTCAGATGAAGAAACGAGCACCAGCCTAGCAGTGAGTGGCTCTGGTTGCACAGGCAGAAAGTAGAGGAAGGTGGGGCTGAAAGGTCAGGACCAGCAGCCAAATTTTGATCCCAAACCTTCCTCCCTATCACCCCTCTCCATGCCAACCCCGGCTCATAGCACCCCACGCCGTGGCCCTTGGTAGCGGCAGATTCCACTCTGGGTTCCCGCCGAGTCATGAACCTGCTCAAGGTAGGCAAACCTGCAACTTACTGGGAGACTCAGATTCGCCTTTGGTTCCTGGGTCTGCCGCCACACGCTGGAAGCCAACCTCTCCCCAACCCAATGCACAGACCAGAACTGAAAAGGGCTGGACTTCTGCTAGGGGCTGAAGGAGGGAAAGGATGGACAAAAGGTCTCCTGAACAGGCTCCGAGGGGAGCAACCTGCCCCCCCGCCACCACTGATCCCGGCCTCACTTCCTCCGCAAGCCAAGAAAGCCCAAGACAGCGTGGTCTCTAAACCGTTTATTTCTTAGGCCAGGAGCTGGGGAGAGTGTGGCTGGGGCAGGTAGGCCCAAGGCTGCCTGCGGCCGGACTAGGGCGGCGCCAGGGCGGGCGGGGCGTTCAGGCGAAGGTGGAGTTGTTCCAGCCCACGTTGGCCGCATTCATGTCGTAGTAGTTGATGTAGACCCTGCGGGGATGGAAGCCGGGCTCAGCAGGCTCGCGGTCGCCTGTCCCCGCTCCCCAGGCCCCCGACCCGCGCGCCCCGCACCTGTCCGGGCTGATGCGCAGGCGCTCGGCCAGTAGGCCGCAGAGCAGCTTGCTGTAGGAGCGGTTCTGTGCGCCTCCGATCTTGCCGATGCTGTGCAGGCTGCAGAGCGCGCACGGCTCGCTGGAGCCGCCGAAGGCCATGAGCTGATCCGGGACCACGTGCACCGCGATGTACTGAGGAGGAGGGGAGGGTCAGCCGGCCAGCGCCCTCACCGGGCCCCGGGCGTCCACTTCGAGCCCGGGCCACCGTCCCAGCAGCCCCCTCCTCGCCTGAGGCCTCCGCCCGGAGCCGCCTCCCCAGCCCGGGACCCCCTTGTGCGGCGGGCACTCCCTCTTCCTGGCCCCTCCCCGCAAACCTGGGGCGGCTTGCCCGTGGCCTGTGCCAGCTGCTGGGTGAGCTCGGAAAGGAGCCCGTCCGGCACGGAGGCGCGAGGCACGTTGGTGTTCACGACGAACATCGGCATGATGGCAGACGAACGGCGGGAGCCGGGCAGAAGCACAGACGCGCGCCGCTGCCGCTGCCGCTGCCGCTGCTCGGGAACCTGAGCTACGTGACTGCCGCCTGGCCCCGCCCCCGACGCGGCCGCGGGCCCCGGCCCCGCCTTCTCTGACGCCACCGCAGGCGACCCGCCAGGCGGCAGGACCGCCCCGAGTGGTGACGTCACCGCCTGCCGCTGCTCGTCCGGCGCGGCGGAGCCCGGGCGCGTCCGGCAGCCCTTCCGGCGGCCGCTGCCTGTCTCCACGTGGCAGCCAGTGTTGCCTTCCTGCCCTCACCTGGTTCCTTGGGTGGTGCCTGCACTCAGTCACTGATGTTTATGGGAGATGCTGTGGCAGGAGTGGAGATGCGGCCGTCACAGAGCGCCCTGTGCCCTTCCAGAGCTCACGGGCCAGCGGACGAAGCGGGCTGGGCCCTTGTGTGTCCTGAGTCTCTGGGTCACATGTCCCCAAGGGCTACAGTCCTACACGCGTGACCCTGTGTGTGTGAGATGGGGAGGGGCAGTCATTGCTGCAGATGGGAGCCAGCTGCCCCAGCGAGTCGCCATCCGGGTACTTGCCCTGCACCCCTGCGCTTCCAGGAGCGTGAGAATGCTGGGCGGCCCCGCTGGGAGGGTCGGGGAGCAGGCGGTGAGGTCTGGACCGACTCAGTGGCACAAAGGTGCTCAGTTCCACGCCTCAGGGCCCTGGGCATCTTCGGCTCCTCAGCGAAGCCCCACCCTAGTCAAGTTGACTAGGGATGCCCCCTCGTAGAGCCCTTGGTGAACTCCTCATCTCCGCTAACGGTAAACTCAGGGGTCTTCTGGCAGGACATTGACTCAGTGGAATGAATGCATGGGTGAGGGAAGATGACACAACGGGGAGGACAGGGTGGCAACTGGATTGGGGCCCTGTCCGTGCTGGGGCCAGTGGCCAAGGGATCATCCCTACTCCCACTCTGAGGAGGCCTCCTGACCAGGGAGCTATGCTGGAGAGCTGATCCCTCTCAGGCCTCAAGGGGCAGGCTGCATTTGACCAAGACCTCAAAGATGGCCGGGGAGGTCCTGTCTTTGGTTTTTGGCAGATGCCATCTACACACAGACCTTGGTGATGGACATACAGTGCGTAAGGACACCCAGGCCCGTGGGACCCACCTGGCGACAGCCTCCAGCTGGGAGGTCTCATGGCCCATTTATGCAGACTGCCTGTAGGTGTCCTTTCCTGCTGTTGGGCCCCAGGCCGTTTCCTTGGTCACGCTCACACTTCTGGTCTTAATCTGCCCAGGGATCCGTTACTAACTACGGAGGCACTGATGATGCGCCATGGCACGTGTCCAGCTGGGGGCACTTTCCTGAGCCCCATATACCAACAGCAGCCAACTCAGCGTCCCCTGCTCAGCATGTTCATGACTTGTCCTCCCACCTCATCGCCTGCCAGTGGGGTATTCTCCTCTCCACTGTCCCCTTATACTCACTTCTTTCCATTCCCTCCCATTCCTGAGTCCACACCACACCTGTGGCCTGAACTGCTGGGATTCCCCTGTGGTGAACTGCTCCTGGAGAGAGGATGCTACTTTCCTGCCCCGGGCAGCAGACTTGGCCACTGGCTTCCTGTGCTCAGTGAGAGATGAGCAGGGTGGCATGAGTGACTCGAGGCAGAAGACTGAAGCCCCAGGGCCTGGTTGGCTCATGTCCTGTGATGTGGACACAGTAGATAAGGTGGAACTCACCTTATCATCCTGGAGATGAGCACTGCAAGTCATAGGTTGTCACCAAAGCAAAGAGGCACCGTCCCTGGCCAGAACAGCCTCTGAACCACTTGTCATCTTACATCCTTCCTAGCTCCTCCTCAGGAGCAGTCAGCCTTGTCTTTCTAGAAGCCCGGGGAGGTGAGATGATTCCCAGTCTTACCTCTTACTAATTTGGTCACTTAGCTAGCTTATCCTTAGTTTCCCCACCTGTAATTTGGAAATGACAGCAGTGGCCACCTTACATAAGCACCATGGGGCCTACATGCTTGTGACAGTCCCCTCTGATGCCAGAGGTAGTACTGTCACAATAGCCTGAGTGACCTGGTCTCTGCCAGCCTCACATCAGCCTCCCTTGTTCTTTGAGTTGTGGCACACGGTCTTTCAGTGCCATGCTCCTGGCTCAGTCGTTGGTCCTGAAATGCAGTTTGCCCACACTTTCCCCCATCTGACTCTGGCTCATCCTTCAGACCTCAACTCAGTCTCAGTTCCTTGGCTTGGTCAAGTCCTACGTGTACCCAGCGCCTACCCTGTCCTTCCAGGCTGTCTCCATGTTTCTATTTGTGAGCTAAGGCTTCATGCCTAGACTGTAAACTCCACAAGAGTGGGGACGGTCTCTTTTTGGGACATTGTTGTATGCCTCCCTCCTGACTCATTACCTTGGTGGTAGGCAGACAACCCAGTACCTACTAAGAAGACCATGCTCTAATCTCTGAAACCTGTGAATATGTTATGCTACATGGCAAAAGGCACTTCGCAGATGCAATTAGGGTTAGAGACCTTAAAACAGAAATTATCATGCATTATCTGTGTAGGCCCAATCTAATCACATAAGCCCTTAAAAGCAGAGAATTTTCTCCAGCTAGAGTCAGAGAGATTGAAAGCAAGAGAAGGACTCAAGGTCCATTACTGGCTTTAAAGATGAGGGGGACCAGAGACCTCATTGTACAACTGCAAGAAACTGAATTCTGCTAATAGCATGAATGAGTTTGGAAGTGGACGCCTCCCTAGGTAACCTTCAGACACCTTGACTTCAACCATGCGAGTCCTTAAGCAGAAGACCCAGCTGATCTTCTGACTCACAGAAATCATAAGATAATAAATGTATATTGTTTTAAGCTGCTAAATTTGTGGTGATTTGTTATAGGAACAATAGAAGAGTCAGACACCTAGCATCCATAGCAGCACAATGATTATCTGCAAATAAAAGACAAATGCACTAGGAGGCATTGGCAGGTGTGGTTGTTGAAACTCCTTCCTCGCTGATGGCAGCATCCCAGTTCTGTTCAGCTAGAATGTTCACTGTCCCAGAGCCCTGGTACCCTGGCATGGCCACTTCACTCCCCCTCCCCAGATGCTCCCTTCCCCCCAGCCCTGGGAAACCAGATAAGCTCAGGCCTCCCTTCCAGAACATTCTGTCTGCAAGGCCTTCCTCATCACCACTCAGCAGCATCTGTGGCCTCCATGCAGCCTTCCCAGCACCTCCAATGGACATACCACCTGTCTCTTGGCTTCCTCACCCCTGGACCTCTGAAGCAACAGTTTCTTTTCTTTCTTTTTTTTAAATCAGAGTCTCACTCTATTGCTCAGGTTGGAGTGCAGTGGCATACTCACAGTCACTGCAGCCTCAACCTGCTGGGCTCAGGTGATCCTTCCACCTCAGCCTTCCAAGTAGCTGGAACCACAGGTGAGCACCAACACACATGGCTAATTTTTTGATTTATTGTAGAGACAAGCAGCATTTTCATGGTATGCTTCCAATGACAGCAGTGTGTGTGTGTACACGTATGTGTGCATGCATGCACCTATGAGGGTGAATAGGTGAAAAGTTGGCATCTGCCCCTGGAATGTGCACCAGAACAGGATCCTGGGCTCCCCCTGAGTTTTTTACTTTCTCTGGGTGTCTGGTTCTTCCCAACTTTCAAAGAATAAAGCCAGAAAGTGGGCAGAGCATGACCCTTGGGGCTTATCATCTACCCACAGCATGTCCCACCTGCTGGGGCTGAACCACTATATACCTTACATGTATTGATTTATGTGGTTGCCTGTAAACTTCTGGCTCTCTAAAATGTATAAAACCAAGCTGTAATGTAACTACCTTGAGCACATGTTTTCAGAACCTCCTGAGACTGTACTCCGGGCCATAGTCACTCATAGTTGGCTCAGAATAAACTTCCTTTAAAAATTTAAACTTCCTTTAAAAATTTTACAGAGGCTGGGCACGGTGGCTCAAGTCTATAATCCCAGCACTTTGGGAGACTGAGGCAAGAGGACTGCCTGAGTCCAGGGGTTCAAGACCAGTCTGGGCAATTTGGTGAGAACTTGTCTCTATAATAAATCAAAAAATCAGCTGGGCATGATGGCATGCACCTGTAGTTCCAGCTACTTGGAAGGCTGAGGTGGAATATCACCTAAGCCCAGCAGGTCAAGGCTGCAGTGGCTGTGAGTGTGCCACTGCACTCCCCTGCACTGGGCAATGGAATGAGACTCCAACTAAAAACAAAATTTTTTTTACAGATTTTGGCTTTTCATCAATAGAGCACTCTCTAAGTACATGGGCTGGGGCCTTTATGCTCACACTTGGACATATATGTCACAGAGGTGACAGGTCAGCCACCAGCCTAGACCCCCATCTCCTGCCCTATTCAGATGCCAGGCCTGTCTCTCTCACCCCTCATGGCACTGCCCCTCCTATCTGCAGAGTCCTGTCCTGAGTCCTTGTCTTCCCTCCCTCACTGAAGGGCGCCCTGGGCAACAAGGACTTACACCTACCCCTTACTCTCAGAAGAAAGTCAGTCTGGCCACGACCATTTCTGGTTAGTGAGTGTGACACAACCTAAGGGCTGGGCCCAGGGTGGGGAACAGGGCATCAAGATGTGTCCCATGTAGTCCAGGACCTGGGTGCCACCTGGTGCCTGCTCTGCTTGAAGCCTATGTACCAAGAGATATCAGGAGGTTTCAGTCAACAGTCAACAAATTATTTCTCACTAACTGTTATTGGAGGCCTGCAGTACAGTGGCCAGAGAAACCATCTGGAGCCCAAGAGTAAGCTGGGGAGGCTGGCCAGAAGAGGCAGAAGTGAGCATATGGACAGAGGCAAGGTGACCACACAGAGGACTCCCAGGAATGCTGCCGCATGTCTTCCTAAAGACCCCACAGTGACTGGGCACACAGAGGGCTTTGTTCCCATCCTTCAAAGCTTTAAGGTTCCAGCTTTAAAATGCCTCCCTGCTGAGCCTGTCCTTGGGAAGCCAGCTCAGTCAGGGTCACCTTCTCCTAGAGACCTCACCTAACCCCAACCCAGAGATTTCCACTGAGACCCCACTGCCCCATCACCACTTCCAATTACAGTTACTGTTTTCTGACAAAGATCAGTTAAATTCTTTATTATACAATGGGCGATGGATTTTTTTTACTTAGGTGCCAAAGTAATTTAATGGAGAAAAGATGGCCTTTCAATAAATGGTGCTAGTATGAGTTGATATCCATTAAAAAAAAAAAAAGGAACTTCAACTCTCATACTACACACAACAATTAACTTGAAATTCATCATCAATATAAATATAAAAGCTAAAATCATCAAACATTTAGAAGGAAACTTTTGCAACATGGGGGTAGGCAAAGATGTCTTAGGACACAAAAAGCATGAATCACAAAAAATTGATAAATTGGACTTTATTAAAATAAAAATTTCACAGGCACAGTGGCTCACACCTGTAATCCCAGCACTTTGGGAGGCAGGAGGCAAGAGGATTGCCTGGGCTCAGGGGTTCAAGACCAGCATGGGCAACTTGATGCATCCTTGACTCTACAATAAATCAAAAAATTAGCCAGGCATGGTGGCATGTGCCTGCAGTCCCAGTTACTCAGGAGGCTGATGCAGAAGGATTGCCTGATCCCAGGAGGCCGAGGCTGCAGTGAGCCATGATCATGCCACTGCACTCCAGCCTGGGTGACAGTGAGACCCCAACTCTAAATAAATAAATAAATAAATTGAAAAATTTCTGCTCTTAGAAAGATTATTAAGAAAATAATAGCCGGGCTCAGTGGCTCAGCCTGTAATCCCAGCACTTTGAGAGGCTGAGGTGCGTGGATTGCCTGAGCCCGCGGGTTCAAGACCCGCCTGGGCAACTTGGTGAGACCTCATCTCTACAATAAATAAAAAAATTAGCTGGGCAGGGTAGTGTGCGCCTGTAGTTCCAGCTACTTGGAAGGCTGAGGCGGAAGGATTGCCGGAGCCCAGCAGGGCAAGGCTGCGGTGGCCGGGAGCGGCCACTGCACTCTCGTCTGGGCGACAGAGTGAGACTCCAACTCAAAAAAAAAAAAAAAAAAAGAAAAGAAAATAATAATAATAAAAAAGGTAAGCTGAAGATTGCAATACTATATATCTGCCAAAGTACTGGTATCCAGAATGTCTAAAAAAATACCTACAATTCAAAAATAATAAGACAACCCAATACAAATAGTGGACAAAAGATTTGAATAGATTCTTCACAAAAGAAAACATGAATGACCATAATGAGCACATTTTAAAAACGCTCAACATTATTCATTGTGGAGAAATATGAGGCCCAATTAGTCCAGTAAAAATTGAATTAATTATAATGAGGAAGGGAGCCTCAGGGTGAGATTTCACAGATGCTACAAGAACCTTGATAACCACAGCAGGAGCTGTAAAAGCTTGTTAACTAGCTGTAAATTGTTGTTGTAAACTAACCTTCAGTTGACATCTGTAAAGAGAAAAGCAGTTAACAAATTCTATCTTAAAGAAACTACAATCAATCAGCTGTCTTGCAAAATCTATCATACATAGATAATTTTCTTCTTGTAAACCTCTCATATATCACTAATTTCCCTGACACAGCATGAAAACTTCCCAACACAGCCCAGTAAAAATGCCCTCTAGCTCCTGCCTCTTGGCAGACAGCAAACAGCCTCTCTCTTCTGCTCTGCCTACTGTACTCTTCACAGCATATTTTCCCTTAAATAAATCTGCCTTCCTAAAGTCATTACTGTCTTGGTAAATTTTTTCACAGCCCGGAATAATCAAGCCGAATTAGTTGTACACATGACATTAGTCATCAGAGAAATACCACAGTTAAACCACAATGAGATGCCACTACACACTCACTAGAATGGTTACATTGAAAATACTGACAATACCAAGTGTTGGTCAGGCTTTGGGAGTATCTGGAACTCTCACACATTGTTAGTGAGAGCTTAAAATAGAGTAATCACTTTGGAAAACAGTTTCTTATATAGTTAAATATATATTTGTTGTTAAGCCTAGCAATTCATTTACACACAAAGCTATAATATCCCCCTCCCCCAATTCATATATTGGAACATAATTCTCAATATGATGGTATTTGAAAGTGGGGCCATTGAGAGGTGATTAGGTCATAAGGGCAGAGACTTCATAAATGAGATCGGTACCCTTATAAAAGAGACATATTAGAGAATTATCTTATTTCTCCCACCATGTGAAGACACTGAAGACTGTCATTTATGAACTAAGAAGCAGGCCCTCAGCTGACACCAATCCCAGAGCATATGGATCTTGGACTCCCCAGCCTCCAGAACTTTAAGAAATAATTTCTGTTGTTTATCAGCCACTCAGTCCATGGTACTTTGTTATAGCAACCCAATGGACTAAAATGCAAAAGAAATGACAACACACATCTATCCAACGACTTGGGTAGAAATGTTCATAGCAGTTTTATTCATGATGGCCGAAAATTAGAAACAACCCAAATGTCCACCAGTAGGTAAATGGATAAACAAGTCATGGTCTATCCACAGAGGGGTATACTATTCAGCAATACAAAAGAATGTAGCCTAAGATATGCAACAGCATGTATGGGTCCCAACAACTTTATCCGGAGCAAAGCCTGACATAAACATAAACATACAGTATGTAATTATACTGAATTCTAAAACAGGCAAATTTGATAGTGATGGAAAACAGTCCAGGGACTGCTTGGAGCTGGGCCTGGTTCGAGAGTGCTTCTGGGGTGATGCAAGTCTTCCATCTTGATTAAGGGTGTGTTGCATGGGTGTATGCATCAGTTAAAACGCAAACGTATACTTAAGATGGATGCATTTGCTCGTATGCAAATTATACCTCAATAAAGTTGATTGAAAGAACCAATTCCTTAGAAAAATCCTTTCCTGGCCACTTCCCTCCCAGACTAGGTCAGGCTCCTGAGGACACATTCCCATCACAACCTATATTTTGCTTCCACTTCATTTCCTGAGGTTGTCATGATGTTGTTATTGGTTTCCTGTCAGAGTCTTGCCTCTAGACTGGATCACCACTCTCGTCACGGATTGCTAAGTACCTGGCACCATGTCTGCACACAACAGGTGCCCAATAACCACTTGTTCAACATAGGGGTGCAGGAGTGAGTGACGGCCAAGGTCCTGACAGGCAGCAAAGGACAGGGCAGTGGCTGGCTTTGGCCCTGGCCATACTTTGGGACTAGAGCTCTGTAGACAGGATAACCTCTGGGCCCTTCCACGTGGGGCCCTGGGCCCGCCTGGGGAAGTTGAGTCTGTGTAACTCCTCGGAGATCTCCAGGAAAGTCTTGCCTTTGGTTTCAGGGAGGAACAAGCCAGTGTAGATGGCCCCACAGACACAGACACCAAGGAAAGGAACATAGAGGAAGTGGGACAAGCCCTCCTGTGGGTTGCAAGAAACCCCAAGACCTGGCATGGCTCCACTTGCTCCCAAACAGGAGGCCCATGACAAGTCATGAGGAGGGTCTTGTGCCTCCCTTTGTCACACAAGAACCTTCCCCTGGATGAAGGCTTCCCACTAAGGTTTTCATGCTGATAGGAACAAACATACAGAAGGGGGGGTGGGGAACCTACCATGATGAAGGGGAAGCCCAGCCAAACCAGGAAGAGCATGGTCCACATAAGTGCCCCACAGACCATGTAGGCAGCCGGCCGGGCCGTCTGGTCAAACAGCTCTGTGGCCAGGATCCCTGTCACTCCAGCTGGAAGGAGAGGCAGGGAAGGGGGCTGCCAGCCAGGACTCCCGACCCACCTCCCCTCACCTCGGCACAGGTGCGGGGATGGGGCCCAGGCTTTGTCTGTACAGGGGTGCCCCCTTCGTTCTCTCTTCCTGCCATTCCCTCTCTGAAGCCCCATTATAGAGGGACACTGCAGGGAATGCTGCATTTGCACCCACCCATTGTTCACCAGGCACCCATCATTCCTCATCTTGCTGGAGGCCACTCACCGGGGCCAACGCCAAAGCTGAGGATGAAGGCGAAGATGCAGGTGGTGGCCAGGTAGGGCATCCAGCGTAAAGAGCTCTGCAACAGATGGGGCAGGGTGAGGTGGAGGCCAGCAGGACTGGCCTCCCACCCCCCTCACCTCCCCAACTACCTGCAGGCACAGGGCCACGGTGAAGATGCTCCCCCAGCAGGTCATCAGGCAGTATCCCCCCATCAGCAGCGCCCGCCGACCCACCTTCTCAATTGCCACACACTGCAAAGGAAAGAAGCACCGACCCTAGGTTTGGGGACAGGCAATGGGGTGGACCAGGAAGCTGGTGGTGGACTGGGGAACACGTTATTTCTTCAAGAGATGATGACTTTATTAATTTCTGGAAGATCTCGGTCAATCAACCACCCAACTTCATTTAGTTCCCTTATCTCAAAATGGTGCCATGAGTGCCCAGTAAACAGTAGGTGCTCAATAGATGCTTGCTAATTCACTGTGAGTGCTGGAGTGAAAAATGGTTTAACCACAGAGGACTGCAGTCCCGAAAGCACCAGCCCCGGAGTCCCTCCCGGCAGGGATGGTGGAGGATGGTCCAATGACTCACGCTGACAATGGCGGTGAGCAGCTCGCAGCTCCCAGTGCCGATAATGGCATACTGCACCTTCTCTTCGGGCACCCCCACCTCCCGGAACACAGAGGAGGCATAGGCATACATCTGGGAGAGAGTGGCCAGAGGGCAGCTCTGAGGCCTGGGCTCCCTTCTACCTCCCATGGCTCCCTGTGGCCCAAAGCACAAAAGTCCTGGGGCCCAGGGCACAGGGCTGAGGCCTCACCGAGTCATTCCCGCAGAGCTCCATGGCACTGCCCAGCACCACGAGGCTTGTCACCTGCCTCCGCAGGGCCTGATGCTGGAACAGCTCCCACGGGCGCCATGTGTGGCAACCCTGGCAGGCGGCACGCTCCTCCTCCAGCTCCTCCAGTTCCCCTGCCACATTCCTGGTGCCCCGCAGCTGCTGCAGTGCTGAGTCCAAAAAGAGGGTGCTGAGCTCCCCTTTCCAGCTCCCTTTTGGCCCCTCCCCTGTCAGTGAGCTCCCACCTCATTCCACAGTCCCTTTCTCTCTCTCTCTATGTCTCTGTCTTTCTCTCTCTCTCTCTCTCTCTCTCCCTCTTTGTCTCTGTCTCTCTCTGTCTGTATCTCTCTCTGAGCCCTCCTGGCCTGTCATTTCCTAGGACTGTTGGGAGGGTTGAGAGCATCAAGGATGAGAAAAGAAATTCATGGTTTTACGGACACATGAGACACGACATGGCAATTGTGGCAAATGGCCACTACCTCCAATTCTTCACACCTCCCTATACCCACATCCCTTGCTATGTGATTTTGCAGTTCCTCCCACTAAAGGGGCAAGTACTGTATACATCCCTGGCTCTGGGCTTGGCCATGTGACTTGCTCTGGCCAATAGGCAGAAGCTGCAAGGAGGGCTGCCATGTACCAACCCAAGCTTTGAGAGGCCTGACCCACTTCTGCTTGCTCTCCTGCCATCCTGGCACTAGAACACACCAGACTAGTCCACTGGCCCCAGGAGGATAATGAGACAGACACACAAGGAGCTGAGGCACCCAGCTGGGACTGTTCTAGATCAGCCTGTGCCTAGATGACCTGCTGCTACAGGAGTGACCAAGATCAGCAGAGTCATCCGGCTGGATTCTCCCAGATCTGCCAACCCCAGAGCCCTCAGAGGCTTAAGCTAAACACTGGAATGCAACAATTTTCTGTTAAACAGCAATAGAAAACCCATCAATAAACTGACACAAGGAGTAGGTTCCACCATAACAAGGACCTGGGAAATGTGCTATTGGTTCTAAGATCAGGCAGTGGATGCTGAGGAGGCTGCAAAAATGAAAACCTATGTTACGTGGTGCAGTCAAGCAGAAGAAAGAAGGTAGGTCTAATGAACTTATGGACTTGAGCAAAGAAATCTCCAAATGTCAGAAACATGAACTAGGTTGCTTTTAGCTGAGTATTCTAAGCTTATTGTAAGAAAGTCATAAGACATGAGCTCAAAAAAAAAAAAAAAACTGCCCAAGCCAGGCACGGTGGCTCATACCTGTAATCCAGTACTCTGGGAGGCCAAGGTAGGAGGACCCATGAGCCTAGGAGCTCAAGACCAGTCTGGGCAAAACAGTGAGATCTCATCTCTATAAAAAATTTAAAAATTAGCTGGGCACGGTAGCACAAGCCTATGGTCTCATCGACTCAGGAGGTTAGGCTGAGGTGGAAGAATTGCCTGAGCCCAAGAGGTGAAGGTTGAATGCCACTGCACTCCAGCCTGTGTGACAGAGTGAGATCAACCCCCACTTTAAATAAATAAATAAATGGCCAGTTTGCAAGCAGAGTTCAGAAGGAACAACGTTTAATTAAATTTAACATGTTTCAGAAATATGTTGGATTCGTTAAAAACAAAAAAACTGTTTTTTACCTCTAACCTCTCCAGCTAGCAAGAGGATTAAGTTATAGCCTGAGAGCAACTAGCCACGGACTCATAGAAGATCAAGTGTGGCTTAAAGCAGTGCCCTATAGAGCCTCAGAGCTGGAAAAGGGGGCATTGGTTGACAGTATCCTGACATATCTTAAATACAAGTAATTAGGTTGTGAGAAGAAGCCTTTCTCAAAAAGAATTATGGGTGTGGCTTATTGGCACATAAATCAAATACACAGAAAACACACATCATTTTTTTTAGAACGTTATGCTGCCAGCTTAGACAAAAAGAGGCTGGAATAAATGGAAATATAGTGACTCTGTGTCTCAACTTTCTATAGGCAGGAAGCAGGCTGAGAAATCAGCACATTTTGCAAAGCCTTCTTCAGATGTCAAGGAAGGTGGCAGAAAAGGAAAGACATCTCAGGGGTAGAAGCAAGAACCATGACCTGGGGAGCTCCTCCCAGGAGGCAGAGCCAAAGCTGGGGTAAAGAACATTTCCCAACCCCAAGGTAGGGGCACCTGGCAATATTTCCCACGATACTTCAGACTTGCTATGGATCAGTAACTGTTCTGTACCTTCCTTGCCTCCTCGTCTTGAAAATACTAATTCTGGTTACCTCGTCTCACTTTTCACTCACATTGCATGTTGAGTGTGGGAAGGAAAGACTTGTCTTTTTAGAACCTAGGTCTCTGGATCAAGAAGAGGCACGTATAGACTTAACATGATCTTAGATCTGATGCCATGATTGGATGAGACTTTGGGGGAATCTTGGGATGGCACTGAATACATTTTGCACAGGAGAGAGACATAAATAATAACTGTGACCAAGATGGCAAACTGAGAAGAGCACATGAACGGGCCCTGGTATTCACCCCTCCCGAAATCCACATCCCTTGCCCTGTGAGAGGATATGTCATCCATTTTCCTGTTCCTTGACATAGGATTCAGCAGCATGACTCCCTTTGGCCAATGCAAGGTTAATGGGCATGAGGGGACCAAAGGTTTAGAAAGTGCTGATGCAACTGGATTTGCCTTCTTATGCCTTTGCCACAGCCATAAGAATGTTCCTAGGCTAGCTTGCTGGTACCAAGAGTGCAAGGAGTGCTCTGTGCAGCACAGCTGAACTGCTCTAGTCCAAACCAGCTCAGACAAGCCACCCCAGCTGACTATCCTCTCCCTGGCTCATCCCCACATCATGAACCGACCCAGCTGAGATCAGCAGAGCTGCACAGCCAGCCAGACAAGTAAATGAGTAAAAGATGCAGTAAATGATTGTTTTTTTTTTTTGAGTTGGAGTCTCACTCTGTCGCCCAGACTGGAGTGCAGTGGCCGCTTCCGGTCACTGCAGCCTCGACCTGCTGGGCTCCGGCAATCCTTCCGCCTCAGCCTTCCAAGTAGCCGGAATTATAGGCATGTGCTACCACGCCCGGCTGATTTTTTGATTTATTGTAGAGATGAGGTCTCGCTGCCCAGTGGGTCTCGAACCCGCGGGCTCAGGCAATCCACTCACCTCAGCCTCCCAAAGGCACAAGATTACAGGCTGAGCCACCGAGCCCGGCTAATGATTGTTGTTTTAAGCCAGAGATTTTTCTGTTGTGCCTTGGGCATCCTTATTGTAACCACAGTTGACAAGACAATGACAGCACAGTTGGCATTGGGCAAGCGAGGTCTTGCACAAGTGCATCACAAGTGTGTGTGTGTGTGTGTGTGTGTGTGTGTGTGTGTGTTTCCCTGCACTACCCTGTATGCCTGGAATTCTGCTGCCTGGCAGTTAGAACAGCCTCTTGACACAGAATTTGGAAGGGATGTGTGGCTAGACCAGGAAACTGAGGCTCAAAGAGAGGGACAGCTTTTCCCTGATAAGTGAAACCCGAGAAATGGGGTTCTGTATACTCTGGTGAGATGCACCTCTTGGTCAAGGTGGTTTGGGGACCCAAGGACAGGGACTTACCTGTCAGGCAGGCCTCGGTGTCTCCACGGTCAATGAGGAGATAGCGTGGGCTCTCAGGGAGCAGGGGCAGGGAGAAGAGCTGGAGCACACCTGGCACGAGGCAGCTGGCCAGCAGTAGGGGCCAAGCTTGAGGGCCACCCAGGAACTCCCTAGGGAGGGAGAGGCCAGATTGAGACAAATGGCCAGACACCTTCTTCCCAGAGACCTGCCCACCTGCTCCCTGCCTGCAAAGGGTCTGCATTGCCCTGTGCCACTTCCTATCTGGCTCTGGGTCTGAACATCAAGATCCCTCCCACCCAGGTAGGGACCAAGAGAGGGCAGGGACACTGTTCACCTCATCTCTAGCAACTCCTCTTCCCAGGGGTCCAGGCTCTGCCCACTCCTCCCTTTTCTGAGATGACCAGGATACATTCTTCTTTAAAATTTCAAATCTTGCTAGGTACGGTGGCTCATGCCTACAATCCCAGCACTTTGAGAGGCTGAGGTGAGAGGACTGCCTGAGCCCACGGGTTCGAGACCAGCCTGGGCAACTTAGTGAGACCTCATCTCTACAATAAATCAAAAAATTAGCCAAGTGTGGTGGTGCGTGCCTGTAGTTCCAGCTACTTGGAAGGCTGAGGCAGAAGGATCACCTGAGCCCAGCCCGCCACTGCACTCCAGCCTGGGCAACAGAGTGAGACTCCAACTAAAAAAAAAAGTTCAAATCTTCACCCAAATGTCCTACCAGGTTTCTGGTCTTTGCTCCCTGACCTGGAAAGGGATGGGAAAGTGTGTTCACACTGAAGTGTGTTAACTGACACCATTTGTGAATGATGCCTTCATGCAAAGGTGCAATGCCAAAGTCTACTTGGTGGGCAGGGGAGAAATGTAGCATCTCTGAAACCACTCCATGTATGTGGGGGAGGGGCACTTACCTGAGTCCAACCACTTGTCCCATTACGATTCCCAGTGCTGTGAAGATGGCTGAGGTCATGGCCACAGCTCCCCGGAGCTCCTTGGGGGCACTCTCTCCCAGATACATGGGCTGGACGTTCATGCTCACGCCTGGACATGGGCACAGCAGAGGCACGTTTAGCCACCAGGAGGGACACCTCCAGAATTTCTGGCCTGTTACCCGCTTCACTTGGCCCTGGCCAGCCACTCCCTCGTCCCACACACTCTGAGAGGTCCCACCTCATTTCCTGAAGGGCCAGCAGGACCCCAACTCCACTTTTCAGGACTTCTGACAGAGAAGTCTTTCTTTGGTCAGCTGTCATCCTGGTCCCTGGCCACAGTCCCTCATGGTTGTGAACTTTTCCTAGGTCCCATTACTGACACTGAGTGTGCAAGGTACTGAGGGGGCCACATGAGAGGTGAGAGGAGGGTAGGACCATGTCCCAGATTCCCACCTGCTGTCAGAGCTCTCATGTCAATGCTTCCATTGGCCGTGACAGCTGTAGGTCCTCACCTCATCCTGGCTTCCCCAGGGAAGCACTTGCCACCCACACAGCCAGGGGGTTAACAGACAACTGGAGAGTACTTCCACTGCCCACCCAGATGGAGACAAATGGCAAAAGCTAGAAAACTACAGTATCAGTGCATCACATACCTGGGAATACTGCAGGGGATGGGGTTCCATACCCTGCCTGATCTGGGATCAGGAAACATCTAGCCTCTCCAGCTAGTAAGAGTCCCAAATTAACTGACAGCCTGAGAGCAAAGATCAAATCCAGGGCACTGCCAGTAGACACGAACTCAGAGAAAAACAAAACAAGGGTGCGGCCTCTGCCAGTTAGGCACAGAGAACTTGAGAACTTGGAGAGATGTGGGTCTACCGACTGCCAGGGAGTCTCAGGGGTATTAACTCTTCCTATATGCATTTAGAGAGAGAGTCCTCTGCTGGGAACTTGGCATGAAGCAAAGTCCGCCCTGGTTCATTTCCTCTGGAATGTGGGCCATCTTAGTGACACACCTAACAAACAGCCTCCAGTGGGTTGTACAGCAACACTGCAGGGCAGGGGGAAACCAAGCGGCAGTGTCCTTTGCTCTGTGGGGCTTCATGGCCTCCACCTCCACACTAGCTTCTCCAAGTGGATGGTGCCCCTCTCATCAGTGACAAAACTGATGGTGTATGACATCTGGAATTGGGACTTTCTCCCGGTACTCATTCTCTTTGCTTCCCTGTCTGTCTCTGTCTCTGTCTCTCTCATTACTGACTCAGGAGGAAGCCAGCCGCCATGTTGTGAGGACCCTCAAGCAGCCCCATGGAGAGACCCATAAGGTGAAGAGCTGACACCTCCTGCCAACAGCATGAGGAGTCATCTTGGAAGTGGATTCTTCAGCCCCAGTCAACCCTTCAGATGACTTCAGCCCTGAGGATGGCTGGAGCACAGTCTCATGAGGACCCCAGGCCAGAACAACCCAGCCAAGACATTCCCGAGTTCCTGATCCACAAAACTGTGAGATTATAAATGTTGGTTGTTTTAAGCTACTAACGTTTGACATAATAAAACATTTTTATTTTTAGTTGGAATCTCACTCTGTCGCCCAGACTGGAGTGCAGTGTCATGCTCCTGGTCACTGCAACCCCGACCTGCTGGGCTCCGGTGATCCTTCCGCTTCAGCCTTCCAAGTAGCCGGAACTACAGGTACGTGCTTCCACACCTGGCTAATTTGATTTCTTGTAGAGAAGAGGTCTCGTCAAGTTGCCCGGGTGGGTCTCGAACCCCCTGGGCTCAGGTAATCCACTTGCCTCGGCTTCCCAAAGTGCTGGGATTACAGGCTGAACCACCGAGCCCGGCCACCTTTTTTTTTTTAGTTGGAGTCTCACTCTGTCGCCCAGACTGGAGTGCAGTGGCATGCTTCTGGTCACCACAGCCTCGACCTGTTGGGCTCCAGTGATCCTTCTGCCTCAGCCTTCCAAGTAGCCGGAACTACAAGTGTGTGTTACCACACCTGGCTAATTTTTTATTTATTGTAGAGACGAGGTCTCACCAAGTTGCCTGGGTGGTTCTTGAACCCCCTGGGCTCAGGCAACCAACTCACCTCGGCCTCCTAAAGTGCTGGGATTACAGGCTGAGCCACAGAGCCTGGCCATAATAAAGCATTTAAAATTTTTATTTATTTTTTGGAGACAAGGTCTCACTGTGTTGCCCAGTCTGGACTACTTTTGGGGTCAAGTGATCCTTCCACCTCAACCTCCCCAATAGCTGGGACTACATGTGCACACCACCATGCCTGGCTTTAATTTTGGGATAATTTGTTTCATACATATAGATAATGAATATAGACATCAACAACTGGCTATATAAACAGTTGAGGGTCAAGAGGTGACTTATTGATTAGAACCCCTAAAAACCTAGGTAGATGTGCTCAAAATTCTCCTTCCTAATATGAAAAGCCCCAGAAACTGAGGCTTCTCTAACAGGCCATTCTGCTTCTGTAGAAAAGATCAGAGAACTCATTGTATATCTGTTTACACCTTGGCTGCCAGGAAGTTCATGGCTTAGAGTGTTTCCTTAAATGTAGGAACTGTGTTGTATATGTTTGGAGATGTTTATTCTCCCCCAGCTACACAACTTTTTCATTTTCCCAACTCTACTTTAAATATCTAGTTATATGAGCCTTTTAAGAGAAAACATATTTCATCATTTTGCCAAAAATAAGTGAACATAAAAATAAATCAATGAATAAAGGGAATAAATGAAAGAAAGAACTAAAGGGGATGAATGAATGAATGGATAGGAGTAGAGAGGTCAGACAAGGCGTCTCCCCCATACCTGCACTGACTCCCACGAGTAGTCTCCCCAGCATGATCATCTCAAAGGAGCCTGCTTTGCGGCTGAAGCCAAACAGGATCGCTGCGGCCACCACAAAGACATTATTCACCAGGAGGGACTTCTTCCTTGGGGGAAGTGGAAACAGAAAGAGAGGTGCTGCTTCAAACCAGAGGGACCTTCCCTGGGGACCACTCTGTGCAACTCCAGCCAGCCCTGATCAGACACACGAATGGAAGTGATCACCAGCCATTGTGCCCAGGCTCACTGTGGTATGCCTTGAGGTGCACACTCCCACTCTCCTCCCCCAACAGATCCCAAATTACTCTCTGCCTGCACCACAGCTTGATATAAGAGTTTATAATTTATGGCTTCCCCCTTCAGATTAAATATTGTTCTTTCCACACCTTTTTGCAAAATGAAGGGACTAGTATATAATTTCTCAGACTCAATCAAATCCTAGGAAGGAAGAACAGAGACTTTCAGAGCAAAGGAAGGGATGCATGGTAAGTCAAGTGCAAAAAAAAGTGAACATAAAAAATAAATCAATGAATAAAGGCACAGTGGGTCACGCTTGTAATCTCAGCACTTTGGGAGCCTGAGGCAGGAGGATTGCTTGTAACCAGGAGTTTGAGATGAGCCTGGGCAACATGGTGAGACCCTATCTCTACAAAAAATAAAAAACTTAGCCAGGCACAGTGGCACATGCCTGTAGTCCCAGCTACTTGGGAGGTCAAGGTGGGAGGATTGCTTTAGGCCAGGGATTCGAGGCTGCAGTGAGCTAGGAGCACCCCACACTTCAGCCTGGGCAACCAAGTGAGACCCTGTCTCAAAAATAAAATAATAACAAAATGAAAGTTGAGTGCAGTTCCCTCACATTTTCCTACTTGTGTTATAAAGTCACCTTTTAGAACCTTCATGATGTCCTAATGCCTTGGTCAAATGTTCAGACTCCAAACCAAGGCGGGAACATCAGAAACGCCATCTGCTCCACCATGAGGAAGCATTGGCCTTTGGCTCTTGATGTGGCGCTCAGAAGTGCTGTTGTGCAGATCACTCGGGAGAGCTCATCATGGGTCACAGAGTTCACTGTATTTATGGGGAAACTGACAGCAAGCAGAGGCTAGCACTCTGCTCAAAGTCAACAGCACCTGGATGATAGAATATGAGCCAAAGCTTAAGTCTCCTGTGTCTAGAGAATGAAAAATGACAGTATAGTACAACAAACTTGATCTGAGAGGAACACCAATTGTAACTAATAATTAGAATGGCAATAATATATTATTTCCTCACTGGAATTAATCAATTCTATCAGAAATAACTAAGTACTTTGATCTGGTGACTGCATTTTGCTCCATTTCAATACAGACATTGCCAGGAACACTCAGTTTTCATCTGGCAGGGACAGCTATATACCTTCATCACCTGCCTTAAGCGTACGGCAGCTCTCTATGGCTAACAGTCCATTCCCCAGGACCTGTGCCTCCCACAGGTCATCCTGCTGGCCCACTACTTGGATGAGTTCATACTGAAAGGACCTGGAGAGGAAGTCCAATAGACGTTTTAGTAAGATACAAAAAGTGGAAGATTAAAAAGGAGGGGGAGGGGACTGCTATATCTGAAGTTCCTGAGGTCTAGTGGACTAAACCATGTCAGCATATTTCCTCCAAAGGGTATGACAACTTGCTGCACCTTGGTCCTCTAAGAAAGAAGGACAAATCTCAGAGAGCTTCTTTCCCCTCAGATGAAGTAGAGTTTCAAGACTAGCCTCAAAGAAGTGTAGGGAAAGGGGAAATGAATGGATCTCTTAGAATTATCCTGGAACCTGAAAATATACAAGTTCCCATTTCTTCTCACCAGAAACTCCTGCTACTGCAAAGAGCCTCTATAGAATCAGATGGATGGATGGCCCTCTGTGCATGGCATCCAACTGCCTTTCTTGACCAGCCAAGCGCTGGGTTAATTGGCTCATAATCAAAGCAGGTCGGGTAACAAGGATAGAAAATGTACATAGGCTCAACAACAGGGGTTTTCTGTCACCAAGATGACCAACCGAACTGCTACCCTACGCAACCAACCCTGAGTAACAAATCTGAGGGCTCCAGTCAGCTACTGAGTAGAGGAAAAATCTCACTGGATACCAGCCATTGGGCTGGGACAGCAATTTGATGTAACTGGAATAGGCATATGTGCTGAATTTGAATTTTCAATTCCTTCCCTTCACGCCCATGCCAGCTGTACCAGGAATCATTAGATGTTCAGGTAACCTTTATTATCTCCCTTTTTTCAGGAAGAGCTCCACTTTTATTTGGGACTGTGCCCCTACTCCACATGGTTCAGGAGTAGGGGCACAGTTAGACCCCAGAAGTCTAACTCATTCTTGGTGATCCTATTCTTTATGCTAGTGCTACGGTTTGAATGTTTGTGTCCTCTCTGAAATTCATGTTGAAACTTAATCTCCAATATGGCTGTATTAAGAGCAGACAACTTTAGGAGGAAATTAGGTCATGAGGGCTCTGTCTTTATTGTTGGGATTAGTGTTTTATAAAAGGGCTAGAGGGAACTAGCTTGGTCCATTTTGCCATTTACCCTTTCATATTCCTCCATGGGAGGACACTGTTCTTCCTTTCTGTCCATGGGGATACAACATTCTCCACTTCTCCTACGTAGGGACACAGGGATAAGACACCATCTAGGAAGCAGAAAAAGCAGCCCTCACCATATGCCAAATATGTGGGTGCTGTGATCTTGGACTTCCCAGACTCCAGAACTGTGAGAAATCAATTTTTGCTCTTTACAAATTGCCCAGTCTCAGTTGTTTTGTTATGGCAGCAGAAACAGACCAAGACAGCTTGTGCTGGGGCATGAGATGACTTTTTGAAAAGTTTTTTTTTTCTTTCTTTCTGATACAATTTATCAGGCAGGAAGAAAATTCTCTCACTCAGATGTAGCAACATCTGCACTGCTGTAGCTTTCCAACTACAACCCTGAGGACAGAGCTGACACACAGTGGACACTGCAGCTAAGAGAATCTCAGAAGAACATATCTGGGGTACTGATGTAGTCCTGACATCACCTACCTCTAGACTTCCTGTTGTATGAACTAAAGGGAATCCTACTGTTTTAGCCAACTGAGTGAGTCCCGGTTTTCTGTCCCTTGCATTTGAAGACATCCTAACAGATACTCGTTAAACATGCAAACACACTACCCATGCAATTTTGCATCCAACCCAGGATGCTGGGTCAGTGAAAGAAGAAGGGCTGATGCCCATGGGATCCAATATTGTGCCTTGAGTCCCATCACCAGATGACCTTAGAGTGTAGTAACCCACTGAAGACCCCACACTACCAGGACCACCAAGCCCACTCAAGAATGAAGACTTGGGTCACTGGGATAGGCAAAGAGCTGTGACCAGCTGAAGTGGGGGTCCAAGATGAGAGTGGACAGTGGGATTACGTAAGTTACAACAGCCTCACAACCATTGCAAGAACAGGGCTCAACGCCTCACTTCTATTTCCAGGTTTCTATATTGTGTGCTTTAAAATAAATTCACCCACTACTTTGTTTTTTCTTTTTCTTTTTTTTTTGAGTTGGAGTCTCACTCTGTCACCCAGACTGTAAAGTAGTGACTGCTTCTGGCCACCGCGGCCTCGACCGCCTGGGCTCTGGCGATCCTTCTACCTCAGCCTTCCAAGTAGCTGGAACTACAGGCGTGCGCTACCATGCCCGGCTAATTTTTTGATTTATTGTAGAGATGAGGTCTCACCAAGTTGCCCAGGTGGGTCTCGAACCCCCGGGCTCAGGCAATTCACTCACCTCAGTCTCCCAAGGTGCGGGATTACAGGCTGAGCCACCAAGCCTGGTTTGTTTTTTCTTAATTGGTTTGTTCCTACCCTTTCTTCTTCCTTCCTCCTCCTGTAGAATGTTACGATGGCAGTTAAATTCACTATTAAGTGCAGTATATCAAGAGAGTCTAACTGCAAGGCTAGCAGAAGGGCGGGCATGTGAAACTGCGCCCAGGAAGAATACCGCCATTATGTTGCCCCTGGTAGCCATGGCAAAACAGTCTCTGAGTGGTCTTACTCAGGGAGGGGTGAGCACAGATGCTGATATACATGACTGGTTGAGTAATGTTAGGTCGGGGTATTTACGGAGCCAAATATATGGGAAGAAGCTGTCTATACATGCTAGTGGTGAGCACAATGGCAGACTGTGAAAGTCATTTGCTCTTCTGCCACCACTGCCTCCAATCCTTCCATGGGTGGTCATGTGACTCAAGGTAGACCCATAACAACCTGTCTTCCTGGATTATAGATCTTTGCTATAGTTTGAATATGTGCCCCTTCCAAACTTCAAGTTGAAATGTGACCTCCAGTGCTGGAGGTGGGGCCCAATGGGAGTGTTAGGGTCATGGGAGTAAATTCCTCATGAATAGATTAATGCTCTCCCCTGGGTGAGTGAGTACTCACTATAACAGTTCCCATCTTTTTAACTGGTTTTTAAAAAGAGCCTGGTACCTCTCTCCCCTCTCTCTTTCCTCCTCTCCTGCTGTGTGAACTTCTGCACAGACTGACATCCCTTTACCTTCCCTCACAGATGCAGATACCTAATCTTGAACTATTCAGTCATTATAATCATGAGCCAAATAAACCTTTTCTCTCTTCTTCTTCTCCTCTTCCTCCTTCTTCTTTTTCCTTTTCCTCATCTTCTTGAGACAGAGTCTTGCTCTGCTGCCCAGGCTGAAGTGCAGTGGTATGATCATGGCTCAATGTAACCTCGAATTCTTGGGCTCAAGTAATTCTCCCATCTCAGCCTCCTGAGTAGCTGGGACTATAGGCATGTACCACAACACCCAGCTAAATTTTTTATTTTTCATAGATGGGATCTTACTATGTTGACTAGGCTGGCCTTCAACTCCTGGCCTCAAGTAATCCTCCCACTTCGGCCTCCCAAAGTGCTGGGACTACAGACATGAGTCTCTATGCTTGATCAACCTTTTTTCTGTGTAAATTACCCAATGTCAAGTATTCCTTTTTTCAAGTCAGGGCTTCACTGTTGCCCAAGCTGGAGTGTAGTGGCATGATCACAGCTCACCGCAGACTCAAACTCCTGGGCCCAAGCGATCCTTCCTCCTCAGCCTCCCAAATAGCTGGGACAACAGACATGTACCACCATGCCTGGCTAATTTTTTTTTGTAAAGATGAAGTCTTGCTATGTTGCCCAGGCTGGTCTCAAACTCCTGGATTCAAAGCAATCCTTCTGTCTCAGCCTCCCAAAGTGCTGGAATTACAGGTTCAAGCCACTGAGCCCAGCCTCAGGTATTCCTTTACAGCAACACAAATGGACTAAGACAGTCTTGAATGAAGATGATTGAGCCAGAATGTGGCTGGAGCTGAGTGCCCTGAAGGCATCTTCCCTAGGACAGTCCAAAACTCTGGCTGTCGAGATGCTCCGCAACACCTTGGTTTCTGCCCTTCTCAAAGCCTAGATTCCCTGCATTCTGTGAGCTGCCCCAAAACCTTCCAGTTATTACAATTTTCTGTTGTGCTAGTCAGAGTCCGTTTTCGTTGTCTGCAACCCAAGACTTGCATCAGATACATAGAGGGAAAGCGAGACCCAGGGAGAAAATACTCATTTAAGGTCAAATAGTGCTTACTAGCAGACAAGGAACTAGAAACCAGGAGTCCTCCCTCCCTTGTAGCACAGGACTCTGTCCTCTACCAAATCTCCTTGAAAATGTGACTCTCAAGATGCAAGTGCAGGCAGAGAGAACAAGAGGCTGGGTGGGGAGCTGGTCTGCACCTGGAGATGCTGGGCATCTTCCTTCTCCCACATTCCTCAGCCTGTAGACTGGGTGCCCGGCATTAAAGGGCATTCGGGGGGCACACAGAAAGCACTCACCTTCCCAGTGTGATGGCCATGGGTCCTGCAAGCAGTGCTCCAAAGAGCCCCCCCAGGGGATACAGAGACACGATGAGGGACCACACAAGCAGCACCAGGTGGGCAGGTAGTGGCTTGCCAGTACGTGCCTGCCATGTCTCATTGGTGAATTCCTGAATGTGCTAAGGATAGAGATGCCAGTCAGACTCCTGGGATTGAGAGGGCGCTAGGCAAGACAGGTCTTTCCAGCAGGATTCCATCCCTCTGCAGACCGGGCATCATGTCTCCTGAGCCCCCTGTGGGGCAGGAGCCAACTCACTTGAGCCTCTTCAGTGTAGGGTGGGTGAGTTTCTTTCACCTGCAGGGTCTCTTGTGGCCTAGCACTAGGTGTTCCCATTTGCCCCCCTCTGAGAAAACAGTTTCTCTACACTCACAACACTGTTGACAGCAAATGTGTGGGTTTCTTCCACATCAGGCAATTCTCAACTCTCCAGACTTCATCTGAGTATACTATAATTTAATCCAATTCTGACACTATCCACCTGGAGTCAGCACCAAATTCCACAAGTCAAAGGACTCTCAGTCCCACAAGACTGCCCCCATGTCAGATGCTGACTCCAAGTTCAGGTCTCCTGTACTTCTGACTAACTGGGCATAAACTGGGGATTCCCATGACCTGATCTTTTTCTTGGGTTTGATAGTTTGCTAGAATGGCTCATGAAACTCAGGAGGGCACCGTACTTACATTTACTGTTTATAAAGGATACAACTCAGGAACAACCATATGGAAGAGATGCATAGGACAAGGTCCTGAGGAGGAGGGAGTGGTGCTCGAAGCTTTCATGCCCTCTCCAGGAGCACCAACCTCCCAGCACCTCAAGGTGTTCACAAACCCAGAAGCTCACCAAATCTCGTTAAGTGTTTTCATAGAGCTTAATCTTCAGCCCCTCCCCCTTTCCCAGAAGTCGGTAGGTGGGGCTGAAAGTTCTGACCCTGTAAGTACTTGGGTCTCTCTGGTGACCAGTTCCATGCTGAGGTGGTAGCCTATCTAGTGGGCCTACCCTAAGTACCTCATTAGCATAAACTCAAATATGACCAAAAGGGGCTCATTACAAATAGCAAGAAATTCTCCTATCACACAGGAAACTCCAAGGGTTTTAGGGGCTCTGTGCCTGCAACCAGGGACAAAGATCTCCTATGTTTCTTAATATAACATACCCTCCAAACTCACTATTGCCCCTTCCTACCCTGCTTTTGTCACATGAAGCGCCTGTATAGCCCACATCAGTGGGCTCCCTTGTGACACGTGTTCTGTGGGACTTGGTCAACAATGGACACCAGCAGGACATCAGGAGAGGCAGAAGAGGGAGGTGGCAGTACTCCCTAGGTCCCTCCTTGTGAGGTTGTCCCAGGCTGGCTGTGATCCTCCCAAGGGGGTCTACAACACATGACTCAATCTTTCCAGTTTCCATCACTGCTTCTCCTACTTGTCTCTTCAGGGTAGGTATGCTACAAAGTCTGTATTGCTGCACTCTCCCTTGCCAGTATGTTCTCTATGTACCACTCAGCCCCCTGAATCATTCTCTGTGGTCTCTAAACCGTCTTGACTAGCTTTAGTCTGTCACATGTTTCCTTGAGACTCTGAGAGTGACAAGCTCTCAGAAGCACTTGTTAGATGCACATTACTTTGTTCATTATTAAGACTGGGAATTAGGCCCTGAGGTGAAATGACTTGCCCATGGCTTCAGCCACAGGTCAGGGCCACACCCAGGTAGTTCGGACTCCCCATTCCCCTGCCTCCAGAGGTGCAACCTCAGGTGAGTAAAGCCACATAGTTAGGAAAGACTGTGCATGGGGAAGACCTGGACACTATACCTCCCAGTAGGGTGCAGGGGAGGGCAATAGTCCTATACCTCCCAGTAGGGTGCAGGGGAGGGCAATAGGCACAGGTGTTGGGCCAGCTCAGGGCAGCAGCAGTCAGCCAGTGCCTGTCAACTGCCTCTGTGGGGAGGACTGTCCATGGGAGCTGGGACCAGGGCCAGCTTCCCTTGCCCTCGGCTAGAATCCCTCAAAAATGACCTCTGACAAACATTCTCTCCTGGGCCAAACTCTGCTCAAGCTCTTCCTCAACTAGGACTCAACCTTTGGACCTCTGCATTCATCTGTGCATTGTCCAATTTGAGCAAGAATTCTGCACACTTGCCTGATTTTTCAAAAAAAATCTTGCTTAGTTAGTTTAGCTAGAATCCTCATCCTCCTATCTGATTATCCTTGAAATCTAATCAGGCTCCTCACCCTCTGTCATCCTTCATGATGTCTGGTCATCCTGGACAGCCCTCAGTGAGAACCCTGTTAGATCGGTGCAGTCAGAATCCCCTGAGCCCTGATGTTTCCTTTTAGTCATTTTCCATGGACCCCACCTTGCTCCAAGGCTATCAATCCCGACTTTCCCGTGCTGTATTCATAGTGGAGCCTAATCTCTCTCCCCATTTCTGTGGTCCCTATACCTATTGCTATGCTCTCTGTGAATAAAGTCTTTCTTACTGTGCTTTGATGTGTCATTCAATAATTTTTTATTTAATACCATTCAGTGGGATAGGGGGAGCCTCTGAGCCCAGGAAAATCTCCTCTGGCGGGCTGGCAGTGGCCCATAGGAGGTGAGGTCTGAGAGTGGGGGCTGAACTCCTCTCCAGTCTGTGAGTCTGCACTCAAGTGGGCACTCAAATGCCTGACAAATGAATGAATAAATAATCCAGCATAGCCAGTCCAGCCCGCCCTTTCCAAACTTTCTCATTTCATCCATTCTTTAAGGGGCTGGACTGCTATCATTGTTTTACCTGTCTTCCACTAACAAACATTCCTTAGTTGGAAGTTCTCTCCTGTAGTCAATTACAGGTCCTTGTGCCCCATTTGACCCAGACTCAGTACTCCACCCTCCTGAGCAGATGATTGGTCTAGGAATGGACATGTGATCCAAACCAGCCAATCAGACTCTTCACAGACCTTTCTACCAGTGCTATCAGGGGAGACTTTAGTTTGGTGGGGGGTGGAGTTACCAGCTGACAGGAGGGGAATCTGGTGCCAACTTCTGCTCTTTTGCCCATTGGGTTTGAGAACAAGAACAGGCAGGGGAGGCAGAGCCTCAGTTTCTGTCCTGGGTCCTGGTTCCTGCAACCCTTCCCCCCAGGCTGTGTGAAGCCCCACATCACTCCCAGGTAGTGACCAGACACTGGCCTTTCTTAAGCAAGTTGGACATGAGCTTCTACCACAGTGGCTAAAAGATTCACTTTCTCCACAGGCACTCACCGAGTATCTACGTGGGCCTGGCCAGTGTCGGATGCTGGAGATTCAAAAGTGACTCAGACACTGAGAGCAAACCAGCAGGAGACATAAGAGGGGCACAAACAGCCAACACACAAGCTGAGGGAGGGGAGCCCGCACCAAGGGCTGGGAAGCGAGGAAGGCTTCAGTGAAGTGGTGGTATCAGGGTGGGCTTCTGCATGTGGGGCGGAAAGGCCGTCCCAGTGGAAGAAGGCTTAGCAGAAGGCCTGTGTCATGGGTATTTAGGGAACTACATTTAACTTGCTTTGGTATCAGGGCCGGAGGAAGGAAAGTGGGAGACTAGAGAGAGGCTCTGGTCCCAGACCTTGAACATGGGGCGAATGAGTCTTCCCTTTTTGTAGGCACTGGGGAGCGACAGAAGGTTTCTGGGCAAAGAAGTAGCTTGACGAACTTGAAGCGAAGGAAGGAAGAGAAAGCAAAGGAAAAGGCTGAAGAAGGGAGCTCAGTGAGGAGACTGGGCCAGAAGAGGGGTCATAGCAGAGGCACGGGGAGAAATGGCTGGGTTCTAGAGGTAGTTAGTGTCCAAGGAGGGATGGAAAGAGTCAAGGCTGACCTCCCATCACTAGGAGGAAGGTGGAGCCATCCGCTGAGAGCAGGACAGGTGGGTTTGGGGGAGGACACGTGGAGCTCAAGTTTGAACCTGCAGGAGCCTGTGGGACATCCCAGTGGAGACTGACTCAGGAGAAAGCGCCACCAAGTGGATGCTGGGCAGAAGCTCTGCAGTGGGCAGCTGCCCAGTCCTTACCTGGCACCTACTCAGTGACAGTGGGCACACAGCGTACATACCCAGGTCGGGGCATTGATGATGGAGAGGTTGTAGCCGAACTGAAAAGTTCCACCAATGCCGGCCGCACAGATGGTCAGGAGCAGGACCCTGTTCTGAATCTGAGGAGAGAGGGGAGGACAAAGAGTGACAAACAACAACCTCCACTTCCCTCCTTGGGGCAGACCGGCCAGTCATGGCATTGTATTTGAGTCAGGCAGTAATGTCTCCACTTTGCAGATGAGTAAACCAAGGCACAGAGGGGAGGATCACACAGCTGGCAGGCAACAGAGGAACCTGTGTCTTACGCTCTGAGACCAGGACCCCACTCCACCCTCACCCACCTCATCCCGCCAGAATTTTCCTGAGATGAAGAACAGTTCCTGGCCTTCCTTGCTGAGCTGCCCCTTGGCACATCTGCTGTATTTTGGGAGGACCAGTCCCCTGACCTGGGGCCCCAGTGGAGTGAAGCTCTGCCACCAGCAGGACAGGAGCCCTGAAACATTCTCCAACAGACTGGCTGGGCTCCAGGGATCTGGGCTGAGCCCCCTCCTCTTAACCTCCCACCAGCATGTTTGGAACAAGGCTCAGAGAAGGGGTCTCGTGACATATAGGTGTGGGGACTTGGGGGCACATGGAGCAACAGAGAGGCAGCGCAGGTGGAGGACGTGCCTGGTCTGCCCCTCAGTCCTGCCCTTGCTTTCCTGTCCTAAGTAGCTTCCTCACCTGGACCTGGAGCTAATGATGCAAACTCCAGACTGGGTACATGCTCACGCACACTTGATACAATAAGGACAACTTTCACCCTAGTGCAACCCCCTTAGAGATGAAGGGAGTATTCATTTCCTAAGGCACTCAGCCATGAGGACTCAGTGCCTGATGCCCATCCCATTTACTTAGGTTTTTTTTCACATAATTATTTATATTTTTATTTTATGATTTCTAATTACAAAATGACATGTTCATTAAAATTTTTAAAAATTAAATATACACTGGAAGTTCTCCACTCCCCTAAAAGCACAACAATGAACTGCTTCCCTCAGATATTTTCCTAGGTATTCTAAAGTAGGTGACTTTACAAAAATCAAATTGTTGATACCTTCCCCCCAAAATATACTGCCTTTCTTGTTCTGGCAAATTGTCATGCAGATTTCAAGTCTTGCAAGTCAAACTAATTATTATTTTAAAATACTCAAATACAAGTTGCATGACAGAAGGATGTTTGGCTAAATATTTTCTGAAGCCTTTCCAGAACCTGAAGACTATTTATTCATTCATCAGTCAAATACCAAGTGACTGTCCCAGGAAGTGTGCTGGAGAAGACAGATGTGTACTCACATCTGTCTTTTTTGTGAGTATGTGAGATACTTTGCTGGGGCCTAAGTAACTTTCTCCTAAACTGGAAGTCATAGGAGGAAGCCAGGTGAGAACCCACTGGAGCCACACTACATCTCCAAGAAGGCTGTATGCAGGTGAGAGCTCCCCTGAGGTAGCCGACCTGAAGGAAGCAGTAAGAGACACAGTGTTTGATAACAACTGAGTCCATGTTGACACGTTTCCAAGACCACAGGAAAGTGTTTAATTCAATGAGATCATGCATGGAGATTGCCTAATGCTGTTTTTGGTCATGGTAAGTATTCAAACATTAGCTGTGGGCCAGGCATAGTGGCTGTGCCTGTAATATCAGCACTTTGGGAGACCAGGGTAGGAGGATTATTTGAGCCCAGGACTTCAAGTCAAGTCTGAGGAGTGAGACCTCATTGCTACTAAAAATTTTTAAAAGTTAGCTAGGCTGTGGCATGTGCCTGTAGTCCCAGGTACTTGGAAAGCTGAGGCAGAAGGTTCACCTAAACCCAGGAGGTTGAGGCTGCAGTGAGCTGTGACTGTGCCACTGCACTGCAACCTGGGCCACAGAGTGAGACTCCCAACTCAAAATAAATAAATAACTAAAAGCAAACAAATATTAGCTGTGATGGTGACTATTAATTGCCTCCCTACTATAGTCAATAAGCCTACTGTTCTAGATGCTGAGGATATAGCAGTGAACAAGAGACAAAATCTGTGACCCGTCAGAGCTTTCCTTCCAGTGGGGGAAGACAAGAAACGACAAAATGAATAAGCAAAATACATACTCTGGCAGCTACAGAGACTTAAAGTAGGCAAGGTGGGGAAGGGATGGAGTGTTTGGACATGATGGTTCTATTTTATTGTATTTATTTATATTTATTTAGAGACAGGATCTCACTGTCCCCAGGCTGGAGTGCAGTGGCACAATCACAGCTCACTGGTGCCTCAACCTCTGGGCTCAAGCGATCCTCACTCCCCAGTTGGTGCTATCTTAAATAGGTGGTTAGGGAATATGGCCTGAGAAGGTGGTATCTGCACAAAGACTTGAAGAAGGTGAGGGAACGCGTCCTCCAGCTATCTAAAGGACATTAGTCCGGTTGGGAGGACTCTATAGACATGGTGAGCGGTGAGGGCGTCCTCTGGCCCCCAGTCCCTCTGTGAGGCAGGACGCCGGGTCAGAGCTGAAAGGACGCGTGGAGGAAGAGAGGCGAGGGTGAGAAACAGTCACAGGAGGGGTAGGCGGCCAAGATCGCAATTCTCAGAGGACTACTAACTCTCAGGAGTGTCTACCCAGCATGAGGACCCGAGGATCATGTGGGCATTTCTGAGCATGCTAGACTAGGATGCCCTGGGTCCGGCAACCTTGTACTAGTCCACAGGCTGTCTTTGGGCGTGCACGCCTGCTTATGCTCATCCAAGCCTAGTACCTAACTCCACTTACACACAAGCACGGTACTTTTGTACATCTGACGCCTTAATTACGCCTTCAGGGTGTCTGTACCTGTGCATTTCACACGGGTCCCCAGTCCCGCAACCGAAAAGCCCACCATGGGTACGTTTCACAATTCAGACCTTTCCAGTTCGCAGGAGAGCATCAGGCACCCACTCGGAAAAACACAGGCCTGCGAGGTCCACCTGTCCATGACATGGTCCCATTAGCGCACGGCAGACGGAGCGCATGCACACGGAGGGTAGGGCTGTGCGTGGCTCCGCCCAGAACGAGGCCAGCGCACGCGCAGTAGGTATTTGAGGGCGCACACCTGGCGAGCCAGAAGCTGGTGGGCCAGCGCAGGGGGTGTTGAGGTGGTCTGATAAACCGGGGTCGGGCGCAAGCCCCGTGATGCGCAGGCTCAGTGGCGCAGAGCCCCAAGACTGCGGGCGGAGGCGCCTGAGGTGCACGCGCAGGCGCACGGGGGGCGAAGCAGGCGCTGCGGATGTTTACAGCCGCGGAGACGGCGTTGCTGTGAGGTGGTCACCTGCGTTCGAGCCCGTAGGGGCGGCTCCTGTTGATCCTCCATCTGCCCTTTTCTCAGCTCTGAGGCTGAAAAGCCACTCGGCTCCTCACTCGGCCGAATGCGGGGCTCGTCTCTGCAGACCAGAGGAACAGACCATCTCTGCTCATCTCTGAAGATCGGCCAAGACCCTGCACCCCTCCCGCAGGTCCCGGGAAGCGACTGCGGTCGCAGCACCCCAGAAGTCCTCCCCAGACGTTCCAGCCCCGGACTGAATCTGACGGACCTCGCCGCAGCCCTGCGTGTGCCCGCCGCCTTCACCCCTCTCCTGCGGCTCCCCTGCCTGCCACCCGCACCGAAGAGGCCCTGCCCCGGCCTTGATTCTGCAGAACCCTCCCCTGCACACCTTGGTTCTGGTATCCCAATCCCTTTTCTCCAGGAGGGGCCGGATTAGAAGGTAGGGAAAGACAGACCCACCAGTCTCTGCGGCGCTCTCATCTGTCCGTCCCCCGCAGCGCCAGTGACTTGGCGGAATGCGGGGAGGAGGGCGGGCCTCCGGCAGCCGCCAGGGGGACTTGAGAAGCGTTTGGAGGCGAGGAACCGGGAAGTCCACTGGGCCAGATTAATCTTTTATTTCTCAGGGCTTCTCAAGCCCTGCATGGAATCCAGGAGTTGGACGAAGGCCAACTGAAACCAGTCTGGTCAAAGATGCTATTTGTGGTCACAGAAATGTAGAGCTTTAAGTGACCCTAGAAAGTCATCTGAGCAAAGACTGTGATGTGCACCAGAACAGGCACTGCAGTATGCCTATTGCTCATGCTAATAAAATATTAGCAGTTATCACGAATGAGCATTTTAGTGCAAGCCTTTCCTACATCTATTTTTTCTTGAGTTGGAGTCTCACTCTGTCGCCCAGACTGGAGTGCAGTGGCATGCTTCCGGCCACCGCAGCCTCGACCTGCTGGGCTCCGGCGATCCTTCCGCCTCAGTCTTCCAAGTAGCTGTAACTACAGATGCATGCCACCACACCCGGCTAGTTTTTGTGATTTATTGTAGAGATGAGGTCTCACCAAGTTGCCCAAGCTGGCCTTGAACCCCTAGGCTCAGGCAATCCTCTCACCTTGGCCTCCCAAAGTGCTGGGATTACAGGCGTGCTACCGCACCTATCCTACAGTTTACTTATGAGGATTTAACTTCATTAAAATTAAACATCTCGGCCAGGTGCGGTGGCTCAAGCCTGCAATCCCAGCACTTTGGGAGGCTGAGTGAGAGGATTACCTGAGCTAAGGGGTTCGAGACCAGTCTGGGGCACTTGATGAGACCTAGTATCTACAATTAAAAAAAAAAAAAAAAGCTGGGCATGGTAGTGTGCATCTGTAGTTCCAGCTACTAGGAAGGCTGAGGCAGAAGGATCACCTGAGCCCAGCAGAGGCTCCAGCCTGGGTGACAGAGTGAGACTCCAACTCAAAAAAAAATATATATAAAATCAAATCAAATCAAAAATCTGTGCCAAAAGACACCATTTAAAGGTGAAATGAAAAGCTATGGAGTAGAAAAAGGTTTCTACAGGCATGTGACCAACAAAGTATATGTAGTAAGAATATATAAATAATTCCAATAAGGAAAAGAAAATGGGCAAAGGCTATGAACGGAGAATTTACAGACAAGGAAACTGAAGGGACCAAAAAACTGACAAAAAGATGCTCACCTGCAGTAGTAATCAGGAAATGTGAATTAATGCACAACAACATATCAGTTCACACTCCACAGATTAACTGCTTATCTGGTGGTGCCAAGTGTTGGTGAAGAGCAGTTGGAACATCAGGTGCTGCTGATGAAATGCAAATGGTGCAGTGACTCTGGAGAACACTTTGGGCATATCTAGGAAGCTGAAGTTGCACTTACCTCTCAGCCTAGCCATTTCATGCTCAGGAACTTCTGTTCATGAATGGCAGCACTGTTTGTTGCATAGGAAAACTGGAAACAACTCAAATGTCAATCATCAAGAAATAAAGTGTGGAACAGGATAAAATACGACTCAGTGAAAAGCAGTGTACCCAAGAAATCAACAAGGGAGAATCAGCGCTGCATGAACAAAGTTGCAGAAGGATGCATACATGATAATATCTTTATATTAAGTTTGGAGATATACAAACTATTCATAATGTAGGAATACATACCTCATTGACAAGGGTATCAGCATGGTGAATATTTCCTGCGCCTTTAGCCCTGGATTGTACCCCACAATTTTAAATAAAATTTTAAATAAAAATTAAAAGAGGAAAAAAAAATTTTTTTTAATTTTAAATAAAAATTAAAAGAGGGAAAAAAAAGAATTTTTTAAAAAGAAAAAAAAAAGGAATACATGCAGATATAGTAAAAACTTGAGGGTGAGCATGGGGATAAGCCCCAACTCAGAACTGGATTTAACATTGAGTCTAGGACCCTCCCAGACAGAAGGGCCATTGGCCCTGACCTGGCCACTGGTTTTTGTTGTTTTGTTTTGTTTATTTTTTATTTTTAGATTAGAAAATATAGTTTATTTAGAAAGTAAGAGAGAGAGAGATTCACCTCTCTAAGGTAGGAGAGGGAGCCAAAGCTTAGGAAACGGCAGCCGCCATAGCTCAAAGAGCACACGACGCCAACAGTCTTATAAGGCAATGGCTCATTTTGTTTTTTTAGAGACAGGGCACTGTCACCCAGGCTTGAATGCAGTGTGGGACGATCGTAGTTCCTGCAGTCTCAAAATCCTGGACTTAAGCGATCTTTCTGCCTGGGCCTTCTGAGTAGCTGTGACTACAAGTGCACATCACTATGTACAGCTCCTTCTGCCCAGTCCTTCCGAAGTGCTGGGATTACAGGCATAGGCCACCCTGGCCAGCCACTGTTAGAATACCTGTTTACCCCTTGATTCTCCGTGGAATGCCTCTCAGATGCCCTGAGCTTGCTCCTACCTCACCACCCAGGGCCCCAGCTATTAATTATCATCCTTTGGCCAGGAAGCTCAAGTTTTTCCTCAGCAAACATTGGGAGTTTAACCTTGAACATGTGAAAGTCATAGCTGTATTTGTAGCAGTCAGGTGCTGACTTCTGACCCTCTCACGTGAGTGGCTTCCAGCCTCCTCTTCAGATGGAGTCCTGGAGACTCCGTGAGGCCAAACACGTGCCAGCACCAGCCCCACAGCCCAGTCGTCCTCAGCTTGTCAAGTCCAGCTTCTCAGCTTCTCAAGTCATTGGGGACCCTGAGGGAGACCCAGTGGGTGCCCCGCTGGCCTCGCTCCAACAGGCCGCCAAACCGCACAAGTGGGTAAAGGGAGAGAACCTTCCCTGACTCTGCTAGTCCTCCAACTCTCAGCTTTTTGCATTTGATTCTCACCTGGTCTGTGGCCAGGTGAGAAGACGGATGCAGGAGGTGAGCTGCTCATGCTCCTTCCTGCACGCTAGGGCTCCTGCACTGCAGATGGGGAAACTGAGGAGGGATCCGCCTCTGGCACACAGTAGGAAACAAGGAAGAACGCAGTTTAAACTAAAAACGACCCAGAGAAGCCAGCTGATGATATTAGCCCCCACCGGCCCTTCTGGCTCCTCCCCCGCAGAAGCGGTAGGGCCGCTCAGAAAATGGTCCTGCGTTACCCCGGGCTGGAGAGCCGGGGCCTGGCGCGGGGAGCGCCGCAGGGATTCCGCATCCTGACCGAGACCGCCCCAGCCCTCGGGGAATGAATGGACTCCGCGGGTCCTCCTCATCCCGCCCCATTCGGTCCCGCCCCCGCTTCGCCCCGCCCTATTCGGTCTGGCCCTCACCGGCTTCTCGGGAGTCTCCCGGCGCCCGCCGCGAGTGGGCGCCAGAGCCCGGGCTTTGCGGGAGCCCGCCGGGTCAAATGCCGCCAGGTCCCGAAAGCTCAGTGTGGTAGTGGAACAAAGGACGCCTGCTCCCCAGCGCCGCCCGGTGAGTGGCACTTCTTAGGGAGACCCGCCCCCTCTCTGCTGCGCCTTTAGCCTGGGCATCCGAGTCCCAACCACTGTCCCCACGCAGGCTCCCGCCCTGCCTTCCCTCCAGGCACTTCACTTCCTCGGTCCTCACCCCTAGCCGGCTATGCCTGGGGGGAGGGGTTTTTTGGGGGGGGCATCCCGCCCCTCTCTGCCTCTGCTCCATGCGGGCTGGGACGGGTCCTAATCCCCAAGAGCCAGCGCTCAGGCTGGACCGCAAGACCCCTGGCCTCTCCAGGGCTCAGCCGGCAGTGGACCGGTCCAGCAGTGGTGGGTGGGTCCCCGCGGCAGACTGGGGGGCCAGCTGGTTACCTAGCACCTCAGACGTGCTGGGCCAGCCTGTTGGCTTCTTTGAATCTCGTTTCCTCATCTGTCCCTGGGGCTGAGAAGACTGGCGTAGAGGGGTGCCACAGAGCAGAGCAGCCTGCAGCACCTAGTTCAAGGGCAGAGGCCCCGCTCCTTGCTGCCTTTCCTATCCCTCCAGTGGGCAGTCATCTCTGCCCCACACCAGAAGCCTCCTGAGGGCTCAGGGAGCAGAGGACAGGAGGTCGGACGTTGGGCATCAGGCTGCCAAGGCAGGCAGAGTCGCCTTTGAAAACAGCAGGCAAGCCAGGTTTGGTGGCTCAGCCTGTAATCCCGCGCCTTTGGGAGGCTGAGGTGAGTGGATTGCCTGAGCCCGCGGGTTCGAGACCTGCCTGGGCAGCGAGACCTCATCTCTACAATAAATCAAAAAATCAGCGGGGCGTGGTAGCGCATGCCTGTAATGCCGGCTACTCCGAAGGCTGAGGCAGAAGGATCGCCGGAGCCCAGCAGGTCGAGGCTGCGGTGGCTGGGAGCGGTCACTGCACTCCAGTCTGGGCGACAGAGTGAGACTCCAACTCAGAAAAAAAAAAAAAAAACAGCAGGCAGCCCACAGGCCAGGTCCTCATTAATGGAACTCTGCACATCCTGTTTCCCAACCTCCATCTGCTCACCTGTAAAATGGGTACATCATAACAATTGATCCACTCCCTGCACAGACGATCAGGGCCCTGTGCATGCCTGTTGACCCTCTCTGTTCTGGGCATTCTGAGGGCAGACACAGAACCCCTCATGATCCCCCACTTGTTCTGGACAGACCCTAGCCTTAGGTGAGGGTTTTAGCCTAGCTGGACAATACCAGCCGAGGTGGGGACCGGGGGTACAGAAAGCAAGGCCCTGGGGCAGCTCCTGAAAACTCTACCCCAAGTCCTGCTCTGCCCCCTTCCTCAGAGCTGGCATGCACTCAGCTTCTGGGTCTCATTTTCAACTTAATGGCTCAACAAAA